GCCTGAGGTTTCCACTTGGAGAGAGTAATATTTCCTAGTTTTTCTTCTTGAAAAGCAGAGTCTGAATCTTGCTTGTGCTTCCATGGATGCTTCCTTCACATTTGCTCGGTTCTATGCCCCATCCAATTTTTAGTTTAAAAAAAAAGAATCTACAGATAGTTCTCACCTTACAACCACTCATTTAGTGGACGTTTGAAGTTACAATGGCAATGAAAAAAGTGATTTATAACCGATCCTCAAACTTAGGGCCATCACAGCATCTAGGGGTGAGGTGATGGCAGCCTTCCAATATTTGAGGGGCTGCCACAAGGAAGAGGGGGGGGGTCAACCTATTCTCAATCGGTCAGTCAATCTGAGTAGAACTGGAAGGGACCTTGGATGTCTTCTAGTCCAGCCCCCTGCTCAAGCAGGAGACCCTATACCATTTCAGACAAGTGGCTGTCCAGTCTCTTCTTAAAAGCCTCCAGTGATGGAGCACCTGCATCTTCTGAAGGCAGGCAGTTCCACTGGTTGATTGTCCTCACAGTTAGGAAGTTTCTCCTTAATTCCAGGTTGGAGAAATTTCCTAACAGCGAGGACAATTAACCAGTGGGACAGCTTGTCTTCAGACATTGTGGGTGCTTCATCACTAGAAGTTTTTAAGAAGAGAAGGTGCTTCTCCAAAGCCCCAGAAGGCAGGACAAGAAGCAACAGATAAAAACCGATCAAGGAGAGAAGCAACCTAGAACCAAGGAGAAACTTCCTAACAGTGAGAACAATCAACCAAAGGGATAGCTTGCCCTTCAGAAGTCGTGGAGATTATTGTGGATGCAGGCAATTCCAACTCAATTGACAAAATCCTGGCACACCATGCCTCAATATAAAGCTGAGCCAACCAGGATGCTGTGTGTCATTGCCACAGTCGCACCTTGCAAACATCACAATGACATTCTTCATTGAGAAATGGGGGCAGATCACCAGGAAGTTGCAGCTGACTGAGTGACTTAGTCAAGTTAGGAAAAGTATTTCTCTTAACCCTTGAACTGGGTTTGGCTAATGAGGGTTGCGTACAAGTTTTGTTTTGGATGCGTTGGCCAACACTTGATTTTAAAGTGTCTTGTTTGTTTCCCACAAATCTACTGTGCAAACCCTTTTTAAAATAGAAGTTGTTCTCCAGTATCTCTGGCTGATATTTTCAAGCATAACCTGCAGAGATGCCTTCAATCCTTAATCTCAATAAGATACTTTAAAAACGTTAAGTTAATGAGAAAGTTTATTAGGGCAAACCAAACCCTTAAATATATGTTGCTAAGTTTCTGTTGCAAAGTGAAACATTTGTGAATTTTGTCTCATTTTATGGCATTTCTTGCCAGAATTGTTAAATTAGTAACATGGTTGTTAATTGAATCTGCCTTCCCCATGGAAGTTTTAATGTTTTAATTATTTTTCTACTTGTTTTTTAACTTATAAGCCACCAAGAGTCACCTTATATGGAAGAAGGGTAGATAAAAATGTAATTAGATGATAGCTAGCTAGCTAGCTAGCTAGCTAGCTAGCTAGCTAGATAGATAGATAGATAGATAGATAGATAGATAGATAGATAGATAGATAGATAGATATAGGAGGGGTGATGCCAAAATATGATCTGCATTCTGTATTCTTTTTATTCAGTCTGTTTATTTTATTCCCTTTTATAGATAGGGTCTTAGTAGTGTTCTGTGTTTTATATTCTGTTTTTTGATAAGGCTTAACGGCCAATCAAACAAAGTTACTTCTGCTCACTAGAGAATTAGATTTGTCTGCGTAGTTTTACTCAGTGTGACATTTCTAGAGAAATTCTTGATTCCTGCACCATATTTATTTTTTTTTTGCTCTCCTTCATTTATATTTCATCAGTTACCCTGTAAATCCGGCAATAAATTCACAGCCTATAATCAGTTCTGCTACATGCATTTGTTTTTCTTCGGGTGATAAACAGTTCCGTAGGGCAGTCTTGGAAGACAAAGCTATAAAACATTAAGCCTTCTAGGGGCTGCTAAAATTTTCCGCTGCTTCTGTAAAATCAGAATACATGGTTGCTCCCCACCTATTGATGATGTGTTACTTTTGCAGAGTTTATGCTGCTTTAGGATTCTGGGATAGTTAATCTATCTGATGTTTCTCAACCTTAGCTACATTAAGATGCGTAGATTTCAAATCCCAGAATTCCCCAACCAGCAATATTAGCAGATTAACAGAATGACAGAATTGGAAGGGACCTTGGAGGTCCTCTAGTCCAACTCCCTGCTCAAGTAGGAGACCCTATACCATCCCAGACAAATGTTTGTCCAATCTCTTCTTAAAAACTTCCAGTGTTGGAGCACCCACAACTTCTGAAGGCAGGTTGTTCTCCTGATTAATTGTTCTCGCTGTCAGGAAATTTCTCTTTAATTCCTGGTTGCTTCTCTCCTTGATGAGTTTCCATCCGTTGCTTCTTGTCCTGCCTTCAGCTCCTTGGAGGAATAGCTTGACTCCCTTTTCTTTGTGGCGGCCCCTTAGATATTGGAACACTGCTATCATGTCAGCCCTAGTCCTTCTTGTCATTAAACTTAAAAGACCTCAATGAAGAATTTCTCCACCTTAACAACTTTTAGATATGTGGACTTCAACTCCCAAAACTGGAAATTGCCTGGCTGGCTGGGGAAATTCTAGAAGTTGAAGTCCACATATTTTAAAGTTGCTAAAGTTGAGAAACACTAGACACAACCATAATTACATTTAGCCAGCCCTAGGGAAAGCTGAATCATTAGATATATGGCATTCTTTTCAGCTTTAAGCTATGAATAGACGTGTGCATGCAACATTACAATGATATATGGCTTTTGTGCCTCTTGGTTCATAATGTGCCCAAAGGCTGCTTGTACCAAAACAGTCAAACTAATCCTTCTGGACATCTATTTCTGTTTTTAGTTAGCAACCTGTTAATATTCTTATTTCCTGTTTATTTTTTTCCCCTCAGTGGGCTGGGAGGGCCATTTTATTCTACAGCATGCCTGGGTTTACCTATTGCATTCAACAATAGGTAAACCCAGGTTTACATGTCATAGCAATCCAAACACTTCAGTTTACAAGCCATGATTCTGGGAGTTGAAGTCCACAAGTCTTAAAGTTGCCAAGGTTGGGGACCCCTGACCTAGATTGTTAATTTAAGCAATTGTTAATATATTAAGAAAGAAGAAACAGACTAACACGGTTATATTCAAAGATGCAGGTTAGGGACAGTTTTAATGAAGAATGAAAAGAAATGATAAAAATAGTGGTGTGGTGTGTAAAAATAGCTTTCAGCTGGATGGAATGCTTTGGGTGGAGTGGTGGAGCATCCAAGCATAACAAGCATTTCCTTGAGTTGGGAACACATAGACTCTGATCAGAAAGATGGTTTGCCCCAATGTTAGGCTTGTAAGCTGCTAACCACAACAGGCTGAAAAAGCAAAACTTTTGCGGAGTCCTAAATCCAGATTCGCAGTCCAAAAGAAACAGAGAAAGCAGATATTTACTTGCTTATTCATCATTTATTTAAAACAGGGCTTTCCCAACCTCAGCAAAATGTCTGTGAAGATTCTCTGTCATCCAGGTCATGGTTATCCTAAAGGGGCTTTTTCAAAAGGCAACTGGACTTGGTTTTTCCTTGAAGACGTTTCGCTTCTCGTACAGAACTGAAGAAGCTTCTTGGATGAGAAGCGAAATGTCTTCAAGGAAAAACAAAGGAAGTCCAGTTGCCTCTTGAAAAAAACACTTTGGGCCAAGCTTGGCTATTTTAAGATGTGTGGACTTCAACTCCCAGAATTCCCCCCCGCATGGCTAGTGGCGTGTGTTGCTGTGGAAAACAAATTTGTTTAGCGCTATATAGATAATCTGGTAGTTATAGAGTTGGAATTATAAAGATAAACCTGTTGAGCAATTAAAAGTCTCATGGAATATAGTAGATACAAAGCCACAGCGTAATTTGCTGGATTTAAATATCCGTTAAAATGTTCCTAGAAGGCCTTGCATTATGATGAAGATATCCTACTTTGCCCATCAGTTTAATAAACGCACATTTAGGCAAAATACACCTTTGACTTCAAATGCTTTAAAGCAGGCACAGAAAACTTCCCTGGCCCACAGGTTTTGAGGTTGTGTTGTGGGAGCTTTCACAAAATGGCTTCCATGGGAATGGCCATTTTCTGAGGGGGGTCTAATACTGGTAGGCCTCGATTTACGCTACAATTGAGCTCAACATTTCCATTGCTAAGCAAGGCAGTTGTTAAGTGGGTTTTGCCCCATTTTATGACCTTTCTTACAACAGCTGCTAAGTGAACCACTTCAGTTGTTAAGTTAGTAATGGGTTCCCCCATTGACTTAGTTTGTCAGAAGATCGCAAAATGGGAACGTCACATGATCCCAGGACATGCAACCGTCTTAAATATGAGTCGGTTGCCAAGTGTCTCAATTTTGATCACGTGACCATGAGGATGCTGCAATGGCCATTAGTGTGAAAAATAGTCATAAGTCACTTTTTTCAGTGCCATTGTAACTTCAAACAGTCATTAAACAAATGGTTGTAAGTCAAGGATTTCTAAGTATGTCCATCGGCTCAAAAACTTTTCCAGCCTCTGAACTCAATAAATCCTCTAGGAGACAAAAATTAAGGGTGCCACCAAAAAAACCAAAATATTCAGGGTGTACTTGCTTTAATACTTTGTCAATGGAAGGAATGTTTACAGAATAGTCCCTAGATAGGGCTGAAGACATAATTGTTCTTTTTTTAAAGAAAAATGTTCCCAATTTTATGGCTCGTTTCCGCTTTGAAAACACAGGTTACTTCTCCTGATTTGACATGGAGTTTACTCACTGCCTTGAAATGTTGTGTGGGTCAACTGGTTCTTCACCAGGGAACAGATATTGCTCCACAAATACTCTGCTAAGCCAACACCTTTGCATCAACAGAATGAAAATAGGAGCAATTGTCTAACTCTGTTTTCCTTTTTTTTTTCCTCCAGGAATGCCATTGGCTCAGGCTGTAGCAATTGTTCAGAAACACTGTCGTATCATAAAAAATGTCCAGGTTCTCTACAGTGAACAAGTAAGTCTGGCTTAAGCTTGTTGGCATTTTTTATTTTTTTTTGCTGTTTATTACAAGGAAGAGGAAAGTGTCTCAATGTTGCATGATGCTATTGTGTGTGTGTGTTGGTCCATATAATGTCTAAACATTCTTGGCTGTTGCCACATCCTGAGATATGTAGTTTTAAACCACACAGTGGCTTTCACGTAGTCTCAGGTGTGTATGTATCAAGTGTACGTATCTTTAGTTTTAATCAAGAGTATTTTCTGACCATACCATGGCTTGCAACTCTAAGGGACCGGCGACATGTTTCGCTTTTTACAATCAGAAAATGTATTGGATTTAGGAAGCTGAATTGAATCAGGTTTTTTTTTTATTTGGATCATTGATTTCATTTGGAAATAAGAGAGTTTTGCACACCTCAAAACAATTCAGTAATTTGGTTGCATCAAATCTGAATTTCCCAGTTATGATCTTTGAAACAGATCATTAACCAAAAAGATGGTTAAACTTTTTGGATTGGAGAAAAAAAGTCATTTAGCAGCTTCAAAGAATCACTCGCTCAAGAGATTATGACGGATTTCCACAGACATGTTATATTTAGGGTTGCATCAGGGATCAAATCTAATCAAAACCAATGAATTCTCCCTTAAAAGCAGAAGAAATAAAAGCAGGATTTAAGACATATTGACGCTTTAAAGAAACAATTGTGAATACATGATTAAAATCTCATTCGGCATTACTGCAATCCCTATTTTCAGATTCACACTTTGCGGTCTGATATCACAATGCTTCCATTCAACCGCACTGAAGTGTGCTTTTGTTTTGCACTCTGTTATATTTTTTGTAAGGAAAAGGGAGGATTTTAAAAAGAAAAAACTACAAATCACTGATTTCCTTGGGACGTGGATTTTGCTTCTTGGAAAGAAAGAAATTGAAAATAAAAAAGCCTATGTTCTTAAAAGTCACAATTTTTGTCGGTGCTCAGTATCTGGCTGATTTCGTGCTCAGATATATACCGTTGTTAACTTGACTTTTGTAACTTTATATACATATATACATACATACATACATACATACATACATACATACATACATACATACATACATACATACACAATTATCCTAAAAATTCGAGTCCCAGGTCTATCCATTTAAAACTAGTAAAAACTGTTAAAAGCTGATCACTGGGACGAAAAACTTTTATTCAATACTAAGCTTTTGTCAACAGCTTTGACGTTGTCAAAGTGTGAGCTAGGCCAGGGGTAGGCAACCTTGGCTCTTTTATGACTCGTGGACTTCAATTCCCAGAATTCCTCAGCCAGCCATGCTGAGGGGAATGGGAGAGGTTTCCAAGCTGAGCCAGGCCGGCTCAGGAATTCTGGGAGTTGAAGTCCACGTGTCATCAAAGAGTCATGGTTGCCTACCCCTGGACTAGGCTCTTGGAACGCTCCTCCTTATATGACACAAGCAAGTTCAGAGAGCATCAAGGACCCCTCATGTCAACCCTGAGCTATAAATATTCTCCTTTATTGATAATAAGAACGGATTTAAAATTTGAAACGGAATCATAACGTTGAGGTGAAAGAGCAGAATTCTAGCTTTTTATTTCCCAAAGCAATTGCGGCTGATTGTATAATAAAAGTGTCTCTTTGGTGAGGCATTTTAGTTGTTCATTCTCAGCCAGAAACACGAGATTTGGCTGAGGTCCCTGTGAAAGCAGATTTTAAATGTAATCTGAATCTTGTCCAGTGCCTCTATATTTCATTTAAATAACATGAGGAAAAGAAACTTGGCAACCCCAGTTTTGGGGAATGGCTGTTTTTCCGGCGGCCTCCAGTGAACCTGCAGCCTTTCCTGGTGCCAACTGAGAGAAATCAGCGTCACATTTCATGGCTCCAGACATTCCCTGCCAGCTCCTCAAAACTGAATTTCTTTTGATTTATTTTCCAGTCTCCTCTCAGCCATGACCTCATCCTTAACCTGACTCAGGATGGAATCAAACTGCTATTTGATGCTTTCAATCAAAGACTGAAGGTAATTCTCACGTTCAAAAGTTAACGTCCTCTCTTTCTCCGCCCTACCGAAAGAGTCTTGTGTGTGCATTGGAAATGTGGATTATTGCAAAGCCGACACCATGTTCTGAGCCACAACGGCACAACTCTTATCTCCATGGCTACTGCTTCTCTCAGTATTTGTGTGTTTACCGGGCTGGCTGCTGCTGCAGTGAGGTTGATGTGGATGCTTTTGTCGGTCTTGATTTAAGGCCTTGATTTTAGATCACTGTACCAGATTTGAATGTGTTGTTTCAGCTGGAATATCTGACAGCTTTTGGATAAGCAGCTTTGGAAAGGTGAGGTTTCAAAAGAAGAAGCCTCCCAAATTTGTTAAACACAGGTAGTCCTTGACTTACAACTGTTCATTTAGTGACTGTTGGAAGTTGCAAAAGCCCTGGAAAAGTGGCCTATGACCGTATTTTTTTACATTTATACCACCGTTGCAGCATCCCCGTGGTTACGGGATCAAAATTCGGATCCTTGACAACTGGTTTATATTTATGAGGGTTGCATTATCCTGGTTGCATTATCCTCCTCTGTATTTTGGCTGGTGAAGGATGCCAACTAGCCTGTTTCCCCGAAAATAGGCCCTAGCTTGATTTGGAGGGGGGGGCTAATATAAGCCCTACCCCAAAAATAAGCCCTAGTTTGGGGGCAAGGCACAGACTTAAAAATCAAGCTGGGGTGGGGGTGTGGATCTGCCCCACATGGCCCGCACCCACTCACTGTTGCAGCCAGGCCTTTCCTCGCCTGCCCACTTCTTCTGCGGCCTCTTCTGCAGCCAGGCCTGCATTTCGCAGCCTGAGGCCTTTCCAAGAAGGCCACTGCAGCCGAGAATCGAGCTATGGATTGAATCCATAGCTCGGTTCTGCAAGACATCTGCAGCTGAGGACCGAGCTATGGATTGAATCCATAGCTCGGTACTCGTCTGCAGAGGCCTTCCAGGAAAGGCTTGACTGCAAAATGCAGGCCGGAGTGCAGCTGCAGCATGAAGCTGCTCCTTCAGCCCAAGAAGAAGTGGGCCGGCTGGGTGAGGCTGTTGGTGCCGGAGGGGAGTAAGACATCCCCCCAAAGTAAGACCTGGTGCCTCTTTTGGAGGCAAAAAACCCCTAAGACCCGGTCTTGTTTTCGGGGAAACACAGTAACTCTTATATACCATGGACAGCTCCTCCTTTGCCCTTGCCTAACTGGAGCAATATATCAGTAGTCTTGGTATTAAATGGAAGCCTGGAGGCTTTGTAACTTAAGCAAACCATAAACTAGGAGAGTTCTGCCTTTTATAGGAATCTGTGTTTCCCCCAAACACAGCCAGGGCCAGGGCAAAAAGGTATTAGATGTAATGAATGAAATTTAAGAGGCGTGGACTTCAATATGCTGGCTGGGGAATTCTGGGAGTTGAAGTCCATATCTCTTCAAGGGATTAATGTTAAAGAAGGACATCCAAACTAAAAAGAGAAGCAGTGGAACTAAATATCCTTCTCTTCCTTGGTTTTATTCGCATGTCATTGCAAGTTCAAGTTTTTCTTTGACTAACATACTTACAGAGGTCAAGTAGGCCCTACAATTCCAGGGGACAGTGATTAATTTTTCATACTTTGTAATTTACAGTTTATTCCTCTTTTTTAGGTGATTGAAGTTTATGACTTGACTAAAGTGAAGTTAAAGTACTGGTAAGTAGCTAGACGGTGCTTGCATTGGCCACGAAAAAGACTTTTATTAAGACATTATTAAGACATTTTCAATTCTGCAGGAGGAGTGTGTCAAAAGACAAAGGATGGTGGCTGCCACTGTGCAAACAAATTCCTGCCTTTTTTATGTACACAGGGGGTCTTCAAACCTGGCCAACTTTAAGACTTGTGGACTTCAACTCCCAGAATTGCTCAGCCAGGAATTGTCCCGGGATTGTGTTATCCCCTTTTGCCACCTTCTGACAAGCAAAGTCAATGGGGAAGCCAGATTCACTTAACAACCAAGTTACTAACTTAACAACTGCGGTGTTAAGTTGCAAAATGGGGCAAAACCCACTTAACATACGTCTCGCTTAGCAACAGAAATTTTGGGATCAATTGTGGTGATAAGTTGAGGACTACCAGTATTATTTCTTGAAAGATATTAGGTGTGATGGAGAGAAAAATGGTTCTTAAACCTATGATGAGAAACTAGCAACAATGCATGTTAATTCTTTGGACTTTCTCTCCTAACTCCATTTTTTTTTTTTTTACAAATTTAGAACTGTAATTGCAGAAGATCTGATGAAAATAAGAAAATGTAGACTTGGGTTGAAAAAGCATTCTGTTTCTCACCCCCTGAAAGCCAGCCGTTGCAACAAAAGCATTTTGTCCGTGACATGAAAGAGCGTTAAATATACTTTTAAGCCTTTTAACGAAAGGCCTCTGCCCTAGAATTTCACGCTTGAGCACATTTGGTTAGAAGCAGAGATAGGACGGGGTATTTAACCTGAAACCCTAGATCACAAATAGCTTGGAGCAAGGTAGTTGGTCTCAGTTGCAAGTTTCCACGCTGCAAAAAAAAATAAAAAATGAAACATTCTAGTTTTTTAGGTTGTGGATATCAGGAAAAAAATAAAAGGATCTTGAAGCAGTTTGTGAATGCATGGATTGCTCTGCATTTGACTGATAGGTTTTAATCTTTTTTTTTTCCCCAGTGGTGTCCATTTTAACTCTCAAGCTATTCCTCCTACCATTGAACAAATTGATCAGTCTTTTGGAGCCACGCATCCAGGAGGTGAGTTGTGGACATTAAAAAAAGGTGCAAATCTCGCTTGGTGGCTTAACGTCCAGAAGGACCCAAGAGAGTTCCTTCTTCTTTTTAATTTCAGATTCAGGTTGATCACAAAGTGGTAGGCTTATACCAATAGTCCTCAGCTGAACAACAGTTCCTTTTGTGACCATTCAAAGTTACACCCAGTTTTTGGAAGCTTATCAAAACTTCCAGAGACTGAGATGATCCGTTCCTGCTAGCAGCAAAAGTGGTCTTTCATTTAGGATCGTACGAGTGGACCAGATTCTTTGAAGAAAGAAATTACTTACAAACCACAGCGTCTGCATTCACACTGCACTCACACTGCTAAACCAAAACCAAATCAAAGTCATGGTAGCTTGGTGCCACCTTCTCTAATTTGGTGGAGCGCGAGAATTGCCCAACCAACATCGGTTGAGAAAGTTCCAAGGTGTCAGGAGGACAACAGATAGAAGAAGATCATGGGCTAGAACTGAAGAAATTTCGTGACTATGGGAACAATTAGTCACTGGAGCGATTCACCTCCGGAAGGTGTGGATGCTCCATCACTTATCAAGGAGAGACCCAACCCTAGAGTTAAGTAGAAATTTCCTGACAGTGAGAACAACTAATCAGTGGAACGGCTTACTCCAGAAGTTGTGGGTGCTCCATTACTGGAGGTTTTCAAGAAAATCCTGGACAACCACTTGTTTGGAATGGTATAGGTTAGGGTTGGACTATTCCATTCCATTCTATTCTATTCTATTCCATTCCATTCCATTCCATTCTTTCTATGATGGTATAGCATAAACAAAGTTTATTTTAAATTTTTATTATATGCCTCAAAATACTGTAAATAATTCACACTAGGAAAGCACCATGTTGCTTGGAAGGGAATTTGCATTCTGTTCATAAGTTACAAGATTTTTCCCCCTTGTTAGTAACATTAAATTGCTTGTTTATTTTAGTCATCAAGCTGAAGGTTCTGTTAAAAGGCGAAACATTCAAATTCTGCAGTAACTAAATCTGTATACTGTCCTTTGCAATAGTAACAGTGTAAATATCAAACTGACAATGCAGAGAAGCTCTAAACATTGGCCATTCTCAATTATCAACAAGATATAAAGTATCAGAAGCGGATCAACAAAAGAGGATTTAAAAGCCCGGGGGAAGCAAAACACATCCAAAAATACCATTTTTCTTCCAAGAATTCAGCATTTTGTAGGAGACAGGAAATCAAGGAAAATGTCTTGAGTTCAGACCAGAAACTTACACAGGTAATCCTCAACTTAACAACAGTTCATTTAGTGACCGTTTCAAAGTTACAACGGCACTGAAAAAAATGGCTTATGACCGTTTTTCAGTTACAATCTTCCTAGCATCCCCTCGGTCACATGATCAAAATTGAGACGCTTGGCAACTGGCTCATACTTATGACGGTTGTTGTGCCCCGGTGTCATGTGACCCCCTTTTGTGATCTTCTGAGAAGAAAAGTCAATAGGGAAGCCCAGATTCACTTAACAACCATGTTACTAACTTAACACCTGCAGTGATACACTTAATAACTGGGGCAAGGAAAGTTGTAAAATGGGGCAAAAACTCACTTAACAACTGTTTCACTTAGCAACGTAAATTTTGGGCTCAATTGTGGCCGTAAATCACGGACTACCTTTATCTGTTTATTCCTCCTATCTCGTTTCTTAATTTAATTGCCCCTTGATATCCTGTAGCCTGCTTCCTTGTGTCTTTTCCTTGTTTTCTTCTAATTATTTAGCCCTATCACAACTTCTAGCCAAACAAGTCAGGTAGGTTGTGTTAGAACTGTCGAAACTTGCAGATCCTGTTTTGAGTTGCGTGCCACAGGGAACAATGCCCCAAGAATTCAGAAATGGGGACATCCAATTTTTTTTTTATCCGATTAAAAATACCTACTGGGTTTTTCTTGACCTTCCTCTCGGGTTTTTCACCACGTACATTTAATTTTCCTACAATATCTTAAAACCCCTACTCTTTACCAGATGATTGGATAAGCTGAAACGTGTTGTAATGAAGATCTCAACCCCTGCCACAGGTTGAGAAGGAAAAGGTTTAGATTATCATGCAGTTAGTCCTCAACGACTATAATTGAACCCACAAAGTCATAAAGTGGATTTCTGTGTGACCATATCTGATTTTATGACCTTTTTAGCAGCAGTTGTTCAGCAAACCCCTTGTTTGTTTTGGGGCATTTACCAGAAATGGGAAGTAAATGTTGATTTCTGGAAATTCGTGGTCGCTATAAATGGCTGTTACTGCAGGCTGGTTGCCAAGCACCCAAAATATGATCACATTACTCCGGGGAGCAGACATTGGAACTTCAAATCTGGGTCATAGATTACTTTTGGGGGGAGGTCTGTTGTAACTTTGAGTGGACACTAAGTGACCAGTTGTAAGTCAAGGATTACCTGTACTGGAGTGTCGTGAACGCAATGTTTGGTTGTATCAATATTAATGCCGAGTTTGGGTTTGAAAAAGAGCCCCTGTTTTTACATGGCTGCTGTGTGTCTCTCTCCCCAGTTTACAACTCTGCTGAGCAACTTTTCCATCTCAACTTCAGGGGCTTGTCTTTTTCCTTTCAGTTGGACTCCTGGACCGAAACTCCAAAGTATGAGGTCAGCTATCTTACTCAAAAAATAAAAATAATGTATTCCTTCCTTCCTTGTGCCTGTCGATTGTGAAATGTGTGGTTTAGGCTACACAGCAGGGGTGAATCTGGAGAAGGGTCAAAAAAACACCCCGTTTGGAGGCCCTAATTGGAGACCAACCATCTTTTCGTACGAATTCAGGACACACGTTAAAAACAGCCAGCCTTGTGGACATCATCTTGAACTAACCCACACACACACACACACACA